CCTGCGCTGAGAGCGAGGGGCGGCTGGAGCCGCAGGGGTGCAGGCGATGAGTTTGGGAGTGCTCAGCAGGTCCCACTCCATGGGTGATCTTAACCACTGGGGGCTGGGTGCTGATTCCCCTCCCACCCCGTCCGGGTGCTGGGATGGAACCTCGGTGGTAGCGGTGTCACAACCTCCCCAGGGCCGACGATACTCACTGCAGGCATGGTCCTGTCCCTGGGACCAGCCCAACTCAAGCCCCTTGACCAGAGAGGCAGTGACAGCATGATCAGGCCCGTGGGGAGAGCAGGCTTGGCTCGCGGTCATGGTGCTGGGGGACCTTGAGGTGGTGGCCCTAGGGGTGAAAGAGGTCCTTGGGGGCTTGCATGCATACCCTGACCCCCCATTTCCGCAGCCCTTGAGGAGGGACAGAGGTCCAGGACATGCTCAGACAGGACACCAAGGCTGGACATCTGCAGGGCAAGTGGTGGAGCGTGGGTGGGTGGTAGGAACACCTCCTTGGCCAATGAGTGAGGGGTCTGTGGTGGTGGTGAATGTTTTGTGGAGCTGCAAGGACACAGGCAGGATGAGGACGAGGTGGTGGTGGACCCGTGGTCCTGCTGAGCTTGCCCACCAGCTTCTCCCTGTGTTCACTGAGAGGGTCTGGCTCTTGTTTGGGGCTCAACCTGGGCCACGGGCAAGTCAAGAAGCCACATGTTGAGACGTGGTGGTCAGCTGTGCCAAACAAGAGCAGAGGGTCCCCCTGGCAGCAGATCCATGTCCCCCACACCAGCCCACACCGTGCTGTGCTGGACCGTGGTGCCAGAGCCATGCAGGGTACAGGATTAGCCAGGATTGGGTCCTTGCCACGTCAGGGTATACCATAGCCACCAAGAACCATCTCATGTGCCTCTTCTGCTCCACCAGCAGCAGGAGGATGGAGAACAAAGCCATGTACCTTCACACCTTCAGTGAGAGGGAGAACGGCTCCATCTTCGAGGAGCCCTTCGAGGGGAGGAACCTCTCCAAACTGAACCTCTGCGAGGACGGTGAGTACGGGCTCCACGTGCGGCTTGGTCTGGGGGGGCTTTGAACCCGGGGACAGAAACCTGGAGAGATTCTTGGGGGGGGTACACGGGAGTTTGGATTGCTCAGAAAGAAGCTCATCCGTGTGGCCCCAGGCAGGAAAAGGTGTTTGGCCTGAGTTAGGTGCTCAGCTCCAGCTGCAGGTCCCAGGGAAGCAGAGGAGCCATCTCTGCCCTGGATTGTCCAGGGTGAGGGTGCCCTGATGGAAGTAGCATCATGACGAATGCGTGTCCACCAAACGGAGCAGGAAACTTCTCTCCTGCTGGCGCAGCCTCACGGGGAGAAACGCTCGGGGAACCCCGTTGCAGGGAGGTTTCTGTGCCTCCTCTCCTGTCTGGTCTGGCAGGGGGGTTGGACTGGATGATCTTCAGAGGTCCCTTCCAACCCTGACCATTCTGTGATTCTGGTCTGATGGGGACATGACAGACTCAGGGTCCATGGACCTCTTGAGGTGCACAGGAGCTCATTTAGTTCTGCCACTGACCAGGGTTGTGCTCCAAGGGAAGTCCCTTTGCTTGCTAAAGGTTGGTTTTTGAGTTTTTTGGGGTGTTTTTTTCTCCTCCAAGCCTCTGGAGGAGGACAAAGCCTCTCCAGCAGGACAGAGCAGGACCTGCTTGCATCTCCTGCACATCTCAGCTGGCCTCTGGCTCCGCTGTGAACTTGCTGAGCTCTTTTCCTTCACTCTCACCCCATGAAACGCTGTCCATATTTCACCAGCTCCAGGTTCGGTCCCCGAGCAAATAGCCCTGAGGAGTTTTTCCTGACGCCTTTGCAGTCCGGGTGGGAGAGGCCAGGGTGGCACAGTTGGGTGCTCCAGCAGAGACGTGAGGTCCCCTTCACTGGCAGCTTTGCTTAGAGACCTGTGGGGCTACTGGGGAAACCGGTCTTGTTCTGAGCAGGCTTCCCAGCACCGCTGTCCCCCACCACAAGCATGTGATTTGGGTGATGGGGGAGTCACCTTCCTGGGTTTAGGCATGTGGGACATCCCTGGGATGGGATGGAGAGCATTGGGCGCTTCCAGAGGGCAACCCGTGGGCCAGGACGGGCCCCATCCAGGCACTGAGTGAGCTGGGAACACCCAGCCCTGACCAAGTCGCTTCTGGATGCTCGCACGGCGCAGGTGGCTCGCGGTGGTATTCCAAGAGGAGATGTGGCATCTCTGTGTGGATGCCTTCTTCAGCCTCTGTGATGGGGACAACTTTGAGCCTGGAGGGTGGATTTCCCATCCAGGTGAAAGCCGAGTCTCCATGCCATTCCCCAAGCATGATGTCACCCTGCAAAGGGTCCCCCTGCTCTTGGCGGCGCATCTGCTCCCGCCTCTGCCCACCTTCCTGCTGCCGACTTCCAAAACCCAGCGCCCGTCCCAACTTCCCGCAGCAGAGAGAGGGGCAGATCCTGCCCACGGGGCTGTCCCCGTGCTCTGCCACCCTGCAAACATGGCAAGGGGGTGGCGGAGCCTGGAGGGAGTGACGCTGGAAGAGACGGGAGGGAAGAGTTGGTGTCTTGGCCAACCATCCCCAGCAGAGACCTTGCGCTTGCGTGGAGCGATGGCGGGGAAGGTTCCAGGTATCTCCATGGCTTTGGCATTTTTGTGGCAGGTTGCCTTGGATCCCTTAGGGCAAATCTGCTCATCCGTAACTCACCCCGATGCAAAGCTGGCCCTCCAAGGAACCCCCTTCCCATGGGAGAAGTTGCTGGAAGGAGACTTGTAGGGCTGTGTCTGGTCAGCAGGGGTGAGGTCAACCCCGAGACCTTCATCATGAGGATGGGACCACCCGAGTCCCTCCTGGGCTTGTGGAAAGCCCTTGGTGTGGGGCTGAGGACCAGTGAGGTCCCCCAGGAGAGCAGCCCTGGCCATCCCCCAAGGCTCGGGGGGTGACAAGTCCTGGCTGCTTTCAGCCTCCCGCCTTCTGCACCTCCACTGACCGGGCGGGCCACAGCTCCAGCTCCCCCGGGCATGGGCAGGGGGAGGAAATATTTGCTTTTCCCCTTGGTTACTGGCCGGAGCCTGCCCATGGGCTCCTCGGAACGGGCTGTTGTGAAAACCCTGCTTACGCAGCTGCGGTCCCTCCTGCTCTTCCGAGAGCAGCACAGAGGAGTGGGTGGTTCGGGGCCCCGGGCCAGCTCCTCCCGAAGTCTCCCAGGACCTGATATAAGTGTTAATGTCAGAAAAATATTGCAGCTTTCCTCATCCTGAAACCCTCGGCTCCATCTGTTTGGCCGGTGACGGCAAATGGGAACCACGTGCGGGTAATGAATCGCAGATGGAGGGGGTCCCCGAGGAGCGGCACCGCCTTTCGCACCTGAGCTGGAGCGCCTGGAGCACCCCCCGGTCCCCGCGGGATCCCCTCGGGGTGTCAGCGAGCCTGACCTCAGCGCTTTATCATTTCGGAGCCCCAAAATGGGGCTGAGTTAAGCGATCCGCCCAGCGTAACCCTTCGTCGGCTGGAGGCTTTTGCGAACCTCCCTGTCCTCCAGCAGGACGGATACACCGACCATCAGCCGGGGAAGGGTTCTTGCCCAGTTAAGTACACCCCCAACCCGTCATACGTCCTCTCCATCTCTGGCACCCCATGGGCCAGCTTGGTCCCACAGAGAAAGTCATAGAGTCATAATTTGGGTTGGAAAGGACCTTAAACTCATCTAGGTCCAACCTCCCTCCCATGGGCAGGAACACCTTCCACTAGACCAGGCTTAAAGCCCTATCCAACCTGGCCTTGGTTGGTGAGCTTCTGCCCCATGGGTGGTGGGATGGGGCTACAAAGATGATGAGGGGACTGGAGCACCTTTCTTATGAGGAAAAGCTGAGGGGTTTGGGTCTTTTCAGTCTAGAAAAAAGAAGACTGAGGAGGGCAAGTGTAGGGGACTGCATCTGGGGAGGAATAACCGCCTGCACCAGTACAGGTTGGGGGCTGTGCTCCTGGAGAGCAGCTCTGGGGAAAGGGACCTGGGAGTCCTGGGGGACAACAGGATGCCCCCGAGCGAGCAATGTGCCCTGGTGGCCAAGAAGGCCAGTGGCATCCTGGGGGGCATCAAGCAGAGGCTGAGGGGAGTGGAGCATCTCTCTGCTGAGGAAAGGCTGAGGGACGTGGGGCTGGTCAGTCTGGAGGCGAGAAGACTGAGGGGGATCTTCTCAACGCTGATCAATCCTTCAAGGGAGGGGCCGGGGGATGGGGACAGTCTGTTTCCAGTGGTGCCCAGAGACAGGACAAGAGGGCATGGGCACAAAGGTGACCATGGGCAGTTCCATCTCCACCTGAGGAGGGCCTTCTCTGCTGTGAGGGCGGCAGAGCAGTGGCAGAGGCTGCCCAGAGAGGTGGGGGAGTCTCCCCCTCTGGAGCCATCCCAAACCCGCCTGGACGCCGTCCTGTGCCACTGCTGGAGGTGCCCCTGCTCTGGCGGGGGGTGGCACTGGGGGAGCTCCAGAGGGCCCTTCCAGCCCTCACCAGTCTGGGAGTCTGTGAGGTCCCAAAGCTCAGCAGGGATGGTCTCGGCTGGAAGTGGACATTGCTCCTGGCCATGGATGAGCGTGGTCTCCTCCCCAGGAGGTTTGGCTCCTGGGCTATGATGCTTCACCTTCTTCACCCTTTCTGCTGGGTTGATGCAGGCTCAGAATTGGTTCTACGCTGTTTCTCAGGGCTTAAAGGGCAGAAAGCAATGGGATGGAGCCACCCAAATGTCAAGGGGGTAGGAGTTTGGGATTCCTCCTCCACCTTTTGTTGGTGTCTCCTTGGAGACATCTCAGACCTGGCAAGGGGCAAAACCGGGCGGCACTTGTTGACCTGGCATGAAGTTGCTGGTTCTCAGCTGCTCTCAGAAGCCTTGTGTTTCTTCAAGGGTCCAACAGAAAGACTCAGGCGCCCGACACCCTGCACCCTGTCCCAGCAGCACGGGGTCACCCAGGGAGCCAAGACGTCAGGCTGAGGCATCGCTGTACCCTCGGGGCTGGGCACAGAGGGATGCGGGGTTGGTATCCAGATCAGGCTCTGGCTCCCACCTAAGACCACGACCTGGCCCAGATTTCAACATGGGCTCAAGCTTTGAAGAATGTGCAAAGCCCAAAACCAGATGACCTCAGTGCCGCTGGGTTCACGGCATGGGAGCCTTTCCTTCCCTCTCCCTCCCTTGCTTTTTCCCCATGGCTATTTTATTCATAAAACCCCATCTCCTTCGCACCCAGCTCTCGCTGCTCGTGGCAGTGTCAAAGAGGAACTGGATGGTAGGTAGTGCAGGAGAGGGCAAGGAGGGGCTGGCATGGACGTCAGGGTCTGAGCATCGTAGAATAATAGAATGGGTTGGGTTGGGAGGGATTGGGTTGGGTTGGGTGTCGTGGTTTAACCCCAGCCAACAGCCAGAACCACGCAGCCGCTCGCTCACTCCCCCCCCGGGTTGGGATGGGGGAGAGAAGCAGAAGAGTAAAAGTGAGGAAAAACTCGTGGGTTGAG